ACTCTCTCTTCCCCCACACACACACATACACACACTACAGTACATGTGTTTTGTCTTAGGTCTGAATGACCTCCTTGTGTTGTGTTATTGTCATTTCTGTTCCAGTGTAATGATCATGCTGTGATGTTTGGTCTAACTCAGTTACTGGGCTGACAGGCAGCACTGTATGCACTGTACAAGGCAGAGTCACAAGTTCGCACGAGATATGGGGTGCACATGCTGCAAATTCAAACTAATCTGTCCATACTGGTGCTTTTGCAATTAACTAAGTCTCCTCCCATCTTTCCTTGTTTAAATCTAACAATATGACCGTTCCTTCCTCCCTCACCCTGCCCAGCTTTCACTTAAACCTAAACTGTTCCCTATGGGAGTGACTCCCACATTCTCGTCAATCTCAGGATGAGATGTTTCTCCTAAATTCCTGATAATCACGATGAAGTCCAATCCTCAGCTGTTTCCCATGAGCAGTGGGAACACCCTGCATTCTCTCTGTATCCATGTAAAGACCGTTATTTAATTTTTCTGTATTTTTTGATTGTCCACAGAAATGGGAAATGGACTGTTTAAAAACTATGTTGTGCAAAGGGCTGCTGCACTTTTTAAAAAAAATCAAGCTTGTCAGCATTGGCGTGTAGGGGGAGTTTATAAGTGAGTTAGAGTTTAGCTAGCAGAGTTACATGTAGACAGTTCATAATTATTTACCTGTGAATCAACTATTCCAAATAAAAAGGTTCTTTCTTGTTCAATACAGAAACCTGGTGTGTGCTTTGTATTAAGGGTGACATGGTGGCTTACTGGTTACTAATGTCCTTCAGGGAAGAAAATCTGCCACCCTCATCTAGTCTGGCCTACCTGTGACTCCAGACCCACAGCAATGTGGTTGACTCTCAATTGCCCTCTGAAATGGCCTAGCAAGCCACTCAGTTGTACCAATCGCTACAAAGTCTCAAAGAAATGAAACTGGATGGATCACCTGGCATTGACCTAGGCGCTGGAAAAGGCAATAGCAGAAACAGCCCTGTCAATCCTGCAAAGTCTCGTCCATTGGCATCTGGGGGCTAGTGCCAAAATTTGGAGAGCTGTCTCACAGACTAGTTCAGCAACAGCCCGACATAGTCATACTCTCAGAATCATACCTTACAGACAATGTCCCAGACACTATCGTCACCATCCCTGGATATGTCCTGTTCCGATAGCAGGACAGACCCAGCAGAGGTGGTGATACAGTGTATACGCTCGTGAAGGGGTTGCCCTGGGAGTCCTGAACATTGACCCTGGATCCCATGAAGTCTCGTGGCTTTAGGTTAAACACGGGCAAGGAAACTTCCTGCTGATTACCACATACTATCCTCCCTCAGCTGATGAATCAGTACTCCTCCGTGTCAAACAGCGCTTAGAGGAAGCACTTAGGATGGTAAGGGCACAAGTACTACTGAGTGAGCTGGTCGTGTCCTAAAGGACATAGCTGCTAGACTGGGTCTGTAGCAGGTGGTGAGAGAAGCAACTAGAGGGAAAAACATACTTGACCTCATCCTTACTCATCTGCCAGCTGCAGTTGCATCTGTCCATGACAGTATCGGTAAGAGTGACCATCGCGCAGTCCTTGTGGAGATCAAGTCCTGCCTTCGCATTGAGAATACCCTCCATGTTGTGTGACACTATCTCCATGTTAAACGGAACAGACTTTGACTTTGAACAGATCTAGCAACTCAAAACTGGGCATCCATCAAGCGCTGTGGGGCATGAACAGCCACAGAATTATACTGCAGCACAATCTGTAACCTCATGGCCCAGCATATCCCCCACTCAGCTATTACCATCAAGCCAGGGGATCAACCCTGGTTCAATGGAGTGTGCAGGAGGGCATGCCAGGAGCAGCACCATGCATACCTGAAGATGAAGTATCAACCTGGCAAGTCCACCAAATGGGACTACTTGCACGATAGACAGAGCTAAGCGATCCCACAACCAACGGATCAGATCTAATCTCTGCAGCCATGCCATATCCAGTATAAATGGTGGTGGACAATTAAACAACTCACTGGAGGGGGAGGCTCCCCAAATATCCCCATCCTCAATGATGGAAGAGCCCAGCACTTCAGTGCAAAAGATAAGGCTGAAGCTTTCGCAGCAATCTTCAGCCAGTGGTGTCGAGTGGATGATCCATCTCGGCCTCCTCCAGTGATCCCCAGCATTACAGATACCAGTCTTCAGCGAAGTCGATTCACTCCACACAATATCAAAAAAATGGTTGGAGACACTGGATATTGCAAAGGCTACAAACTCTGTCAACATTCTGGCAATAGTACTGAAGACTTCTGCTCCAGAACTTGCTGTTCCAGTACAGTTACAACCCTGGTACCTAACTGCCAATGTAGAAAAATGCCCAAGTATGTCCTGTACACAAAAAGAGGGATAAATCCAACCCGGCCATTTACTGCCCCATCAGTCTCCTGTCCATCATCAGTTAAGTGATGGAAGGTGTCATCAACAGTGCTATCAAGCAGCACCCGCTCAGTAATGCCCAGTTTGGGTTCCGCCAGGGCCACTTAGCCCTTGACCCCATTATAGCCTTGGTTCAAACATGGACAAAAGAGCTGAATTCCAGAGGTGAGGTGAGAGACTCTCTGGTGGTTGGAGTCATACCTGACACATAGGAAGATGGTCGTGGTTGTTTGGAGGTCAATCATCTCCGCTTCAGGACATCTCTGCAGGAGTTCATCAGGGTAGTGCCTAGGCCCGACCATCTTCAGCTGCTTCATCAATGACCTTCCCTCCATCATAAGGTCAGAAGTGAGTATGTTCGCTGATGATTGGTGCTGTACATTGTGCATTCATAACTCCTCAGATACTGAAGCAGTCTGTGTTCAAATGCAACAAGATCTGGGGGGGGATGATGTCCAGGCTTGGGCTGACAAGTCGTGCCTCACAAATGCCAGGCTATGACCATCACCAATAAAAACAATCTTACCACCGCCCCTTGACACTCAATGGTGTTACCATCACTGAATCCCCCACTATCAACATCCTGGGGGTTATCATTGACCAGAAACTCAACTAGACTCACCACATAAACACTGGCTATGACAGCAAGTCAGAAGCTAGGAATACTGCGTTGAGTAACTCCCCTCCTGACTTCTCAAAGCCTGACCGCCATTTACAAGGCACAAGTCAGGAGTGTGATGGAATACTCTCCACTTGCCTGGATGAGTGCAGCCCCAACAACAATCAAGAAGTTTGACACCATCCAGGACAAAACAGCCCGTCTGATTGGCACTACATCTTGTAGATCCTCAGACAGCAACTTCCAGACCCACGACCACTTCCATCTAGAAGGACAAGAGCAGCAGATACATGGGAATACCACCACCTTCTGGCCACTCCTCATCCTGACTTGGAAATATATTGTCATTCCTTCACTGTCACTGGGTCAGAATTCCCTCCCTAATGACATTGTGGGTCAACCCACAGCAGATGGTCTGCAGTAGTTCAAGAAGGCAGCTCACCTTCTCGAGGGTAACTAGGGATGGGCAAGAAATACTGGCCAGTTGGTAACAACCACATTGCCACAAATGAATAGGAAAAAAAAGCACTCTTGCTGTGCCAGTGACCCGGGTTCAGTTCCAGCCTTGGGTGACTGCTCTTTGTGTAGTTTGCACATTCTCCCTTGTGTCTGTGTGGGTTTCTGCCAGTGCATTGGTTTTCTCTTGCAGTCTGAAGATGTGCTGCTTAGGTGGATTGGCCATGCTGAATTTCCCTGTAGTGTCCAGGGATGTACAGGCCAGTTGGATTAGCCATTGGAAATGTAGGGTTACAAGGATAGAATGCAGGGGAGGGGGTGTGTCTGGATGGCATGCTGTTCAGAGTTGGTGTAGACTTGATGGGCTGAATGGTCTCTTTCTGCATTGTATTCATTCTAGACTCCATTTTTTAAAAATGGGTAAATTTGGGAAAATTTGCATACTTTGATAAAATCTTTTAATTTTCGTGATGACTTTGGGAATAGCAGGGCTTGATTTCCTGCCTGGTATCCCAGGGAGGTGTGACAACACACAGGTTTTTAAAATCACTGTCCCCCTTCTCCAAACTAAATTTGGTGTTGCCTGCAAATTTAGAATTTATCTTTGATTCCATGACCCAATGGTTAATATAAATTGAGATCAGCAGTTCTTGAACTGATCCTTTGTAGGACTTCACTTCCCACCTTCTGAATAGTTACCCTTTCCTCCAAGTCTCTTTTCTGTACCGAAGCTACCCAACAATCCATTCTGTGCTTGTCCAAAAGCACAAAACTGTGGGTGTGGGAAATCTGAAATTAAAAACAGGACGTGCTGGAGAAACAGCAGGTTGGATGGTATCTGTGGAGGGAGAAATAGAGGAACGTTTTGAGTCAAACGACTCTTCAGAACCCATTCTGTTGCTTGTCCAAAACAAACACTGGAATCTGAGAATCTGAAAATAACATGGTGAATGCTCGAAATATTGAGGTCTGGTACTGTGGAGAGAAAACCTAGTTAATGAAAGATCATGAATCTGAATCATCAGAACTGCCTCATCTCCTGACTCTACATTCTCTGGCCTTATTAGACCGTTATTACAAAGCACCTTACTAAAGCACTTCTGGAAATCAATTAAAAAGGAAAAAATGCTGGAAACACTCGGCGTCATCTGGAGTGTGAAACAGAATCGTTGATTCTCTCTTTGTAGATGTTGTCAGACCTGCTGAGTATTTTCACACTTGTTTCCATGGTGTACCCGCTTTAATTTTCTACATTTGCTGGAAAATGGTGAGATAATAAAGTACGGAAAGTGTTGTTTGGTTGCTTTATATCCAAAGTTGCTGAATGATGGTAACTGTTTGTTCAATACTTATACGTACAAGGAATTTATTTGCCTGCTTTGTGTGTGTAAGGTGTTTCTATACAAGTCTGTTCTTGTCACAGTGTCACCATAGCCACACTGCTGTACCCATCTCCCTTTCAAGTACTCCCAGGCCTGGTACAGCATGGGGTTACGTCCAGAGCAAAGCTTACTCTACTATTTTTTTTTTTTTAAAAACCTGAAATTAAAGCTTTTTCTATACTACCCCCGAATATTGACTTGACCAGCTTCAAAATCTCTCCTCTCCCAACCTATCCGCTCCACCCTTCCCACTGATCAACCACAAACTCCCTAATCTACATCCACCCATCTCCATCTCACCTACCCTTCCCTTTGTTCATCACTTCCCCCTACCCCCCAAAAAAAAATGTCCTAATGAAAGGTTTCAGCCCAAAACATTGACCTTTCTGCTCCTCGGATGCTGCCTGACCTGTGCTTTTCCAGCTCCACGTTTACTGACCCCAGGCCTGGTACAGCATGGGATTAGATTCAGAGCAATGGTTCTTGATATTGTGTGTTGTATGAGGAGGGGGTGTGGTTGTGGATTGTGTATGGTGAATGGTGGGGGCTGATTCCAGTTGGGGATGATTGAGTGTGGTGGGTGTGTGGAGTAACATTGCTTCTGCTTGCTGCTGTGGGGATCACTCCAGTTCTTCCATCTGTCTCTGCAGAAGTTGGGATTGCCGATCACAGATGAGCAGCTCCAGGAGATGGAGTCAAATCTCTCAAACATTGACTTCAAGATGGCTGCTGAGGAAGAGAAGAAGCTTCGCCATGATGTCATGGCCCACGTACACACGTTTGCGCATTGCTGCCCGAATGCTGCTGCCATCATACACCTTGGTGCCACCTCCTGCTATGTTGGGGACAACACGGTATGACAACATTCATGATCTCTGGACTGGACTGTCCTGACTAATGTTCCTTCAAGCAGCATGGGGTTAGATACAGAGTAAAACTCTCCACACTGTCCCCATCAAACACTCCATGGAAGGATTTTAAAAGCCTGATGAGGATTTTGCACCCAAATTTTGAACATTGAGGAAACAAAGTGGGACTTGGTTCAAGTTAGTTGAAAATGGAATTTTAGTCATGTTTAACATTATGGAGGGTGGGAGATAAGAGCCTGGTCAGTAGTGCGTTGGAGTAGCTTTGCCTCGAAGTTATAAGGGTTTCAGCAGCAGACAAGTAGAAGCAGGGCAGACAGGGCAGTGGTACGAAGCTGAAGCTAGGTCTGCATGAAATTTTGTTTAAAACCCTACAAACTTCTGATCAGTCTGGTTCAGTTTTGCAATGTCAGGGAGAGGGATAGAACTGATGCTGTCCCTAAGCCACTTTACTTTTGTTTACTTCTGTATTAATGATTTCCCTCTTCTCTTAGGATCTTATTGTTCTTCGTGATGGTTTTGACATCCTCTTGCCCAAGGTGAGTGTGTGTGTGTGCGCGCGCGCGCGCTCTGACGGTTGCAGTTTGTTTGTCCTAGAGATGTTTTGACAAGCGCTTTCTCATTCCCTCTGCTGCAGTTGGCTCGAGTCATCAAACGCCTGGCGGACTTTGCCCAGAAATATGCTGACCTGCCGACACTCGGCTTCACCCACTACCAGTAAGTGGCCATGCACAAGAGATACATCCTGCATCCCCATTCCGTTACTGTTAAGTGCACTCCAAGTAAAGGAGTCACAAGTTTGCACACACCCCAGAGTCTGTCAAATGCTGACTGACCCCAAATTTATGTGCTCTGTCTCTCGCACTCCCTCCTCTAACCCATACACCACCATTGCTGCTGCCATTGCACCCCCCCCACACCCCCATGCCAAACCAACTACCACCACCTCTGTGTGGTAGCCAGTCTCCGATGAGCTGCAATTTCTCCAGTTTAGTTGTTGCATTATGATACCAGACAATGTTCCAAAGATGTGCAGGTTAGGTGGATTGACTATGCTAAATTCCCCCATAGTGACCAGGGATGGGCAGGTTGGATGGATTAGCCATGGTAAATGTGGGGTTATGGGAATAGGCTGGGGGGCTGGGTCTGGGTGGGATGGTCTTTGGAGAGTTGGCGCAGACTCAATGGGGCGAATCGTGCAGCTTTCTTTTTTGTAGGGCCTACAACATTACTGACTTAAAAAACTGTCCGAAAAGATTGTACTCCTATCTGTTTCTACTTGAGTAACTTCTCCCAGTTTAGTTTTTGTGGACTGCAGAGGTCTGCCGTTCCCTCCTGCAGAGTGGCTGACCAGAAGACTCTCTCCCACTTTACAGCCTGTCATCAGGCCTGTTGGAAAGATTCACAGGTTGATCCTCGACCTGTTTTTGTGTTATGAGCACACATTGCTTGGATGCCAAGTCTTGAAGTGGAGCTCTAGCTCAGACAGTGAAATTACCCATTGAACTATAGTAAATGTACAGCACAGAAAGGGGCCATTCAGCCCATTGATAAAGAAAATTTTAAAAAGCTAAACGACCAATCCAGCCCCTTCTTGAAGCACCTGGTCCATAACCTTGCATGTTCCAGTGCCTCGGTATTGGATCTGGCACATTTTTAACGGAGTTGAGGGTGCAGACTTAACCGCCAAGCAAGTAGCGAATTCCACTTATTGTATTTTCTCTTGCTTTGTTTGCCATCCCACTTCTCCAGATTATGTTTATCACTTTCCAACTCACTCAACCAAATCTTTTGATGTCCTCCTGCAGCCAACAACATCCTCTTCAGTATCAACTACATGAACGTTTTGTGTGTCATCTGCAAATTGCCACATTTAAATCTAAATCATTAACGTATACTACAAACAGCAAGGGACCCAATACTGAGCCCTGTGGTAGAGCAGATAAAAACATTTACTGTTTCCTATTACTGTTGTTAGGAAGGGGAGGTTGAACCTGTCTGATAATTAAAATCAAAACACAAGCCCCCAATCTGTTATGGCGGGAGTAGAGGTCCCCTTCTAGTAATTAAGCCCGAAGCTCGCGTCACCTCGCCTAATCTGTTAACCTCCCCTTCTCCATAAGAGTTTAACTGAAATAAAATTCCTGATAGTCACTTTATAAGTAACAAGCAACATTTTATTTATTTAACCTAAACGATGAAGAAATTAACAGCACTACTAACTAAACAAACAATTCCCCCCAACCCCTAACTATTCTGTAACTGAACAGTTTTTCTAGAATGCTGTTCAAATGAAACACAAGTCCCACTTATATAAACCTAATTAATAAGACAACAATAAATTAAAATTTAATCTCCAAGTTCACACAGACTGTTCCTTCTCTGCTTCCTCTCCAGTCTTTCTTCTGTTGATCTCACGCCACAAATGCCTTTCTTCTGCTAATTCTACTGTCAGCAATGTTTGCTCTATATTTTATTCTGAGAACTCAGCTAAAAATGCTGTGGTACCTTTGATTAATTAGACGGTGCTTTCTCTGAGAGCTAAAAGTTATCTCCTGGCAGCTGGTATTCGGCTGTCTGAATTTCCAGATGCCCTTTTTGATATCCTTGTTGGCCTGCGCATTTTCTTAAAATATGGTTGGTTTCTAGATTGTCAGCACCATCTGATTTAAATTTGGTAGATTTATAGTATCTAAAGGCTTGGTTTGAATTGATTGGCTAAATTTAAAAAGACTTGTCTTGGTAAAAATGCTGCTTGTCTGTTCAATACAAAATGTTTCAACTCAGGCACTCTGTGTGCACCTGCACCTTTTAAGCTGCTGTTTAGACATTCACTTTAACTCTAAGCACCAATAAAACATCGACTTTTAAGGGGACACGCAATGCTTTCCCCAATTTTACACACGCCAACTTTGCAGCACTGAGCTGATTTTTGTATCCATCTCAACAAGTTGCTTTGTATTCCAGGGGCCTTAATTTTTCTGACCAGTTTGCTTTGTGGGACTTTGTCAAATGCCTAAAATCCATGTAGACCACATCCGCTGCACCACCCTCATCAATCCTATTGTTATTTCCTCAAAGAAAAAATTCAGTTAAATTAGTAAGACACAGCCTTCCCTGAACAAAACCAAACTGACTATCCTTAATTAATCTGTGTCTTTCTAAGTAACAGTTAGTCCTTGTTTGTGATTTGCTTGTTAAGTGGGTTCTGTGCTGTGATTGGGCAGGCCTGCGCAGTTGACCACCGTTGGGAAGCGCTGCTGCCTCTGGCTGCAGGATCTGTGTATGGACCTGAGAAATCTGGAGCGTGCCCGCAATGAACTGCGATTCCGAGGAGTGAAGGGAACGACGGGGACTCAGGCCAGTTTTCTCCAACTCTTTGAGGGAGACCACAGAAAGGTAAGTGACACTAACAACTTGGGCAAGGCGAGATTGTCAACTGCAGTGGCAGCATAATCATGGCAGAGCATCCATTATAACAACAGAAATCCTGAGTCATCCAGTCCTGAAGGCTGCCCAGGGCCCGAGACAATACAACCCCGACTTGGTTGACTCAATAAAGACTTAAAGTAGTTTCTTTACTTTGAATACTTTTCCTCTATAAATGATATTTGCATTTTCATCTGCTCTTATTAAGCTGTGACTGTTTGAAGGATGTGAGTATCTGTCTCCCAGGTCCCTCGGTTTCTTGTCCAGATTCTCATTTTGTTTTGATTTGTTCATGATGTCACTGGCTGGCACAGTATTTATTGCCCAATCCAAATTGCCTTTGATCAGAATGGCTCACTAGGCCATTTCAGAAGGCAGTTAAGAATCAACTGCATTGTTGTGGGTCTGAAATCGCATGTAGGCCAGATCGGATTAAGGATGGCAGATTTCCCCTCACTTGAGGGATTTATTGAACCAGATGGGTTATTGCAGCAATGAACAGTGGTTCCAGAATCTTCGTGAGGCAACATTTCAATTCCAGACGTGAATTGAGATCTTACCATATGTCCCTAGAACACTAGCCTGAGGTTCTGGATTACGAGTCCTTGCAGTTCCTATCCAAATGTTGCATCTGACATTTCTCTCAACTGAAGTTCAGTATTTGTATAGTTCTCAATGCTTTGTTACAACTCACCTTGTAATTTCTATGTTTTACTGACCATATCCCTGCAGTACAGATTTGTTACGCTAGACACTCTGAGCATTGCTTGCTGCACCCACACATCATGCCCATTACCCAGGCATCTACCTCTAATTAGTGCACAGACCTGGTTCAGCTCAGTTTCTGCTTTGTTCTCTCGCAGGGGAGGGCACAAAAGCAGTGGCTATCATAGCGAGTTATATTGGCTGTGCCACAGGCTCCCACTCTTTCAGATCTGCACCCCTGCCTCCAACCTCACTCTTACTGAGGGAACATGATGATTTCCAAACCTTGAAATGGGGCCACAGTGGGGTTGGGAGAAATGTTTGGGAAACACTGCATTAAGGCATTGGCCAAGAGAAGCAGTGGCAGGCATTTAATGAGATGGCACCCTGCAAAGATACATTCCAGTGAGAGAGACACTGTGGGAGAAGGGCCCACTATCTGTGATTACCGAAGTAAGTTTCATATCGTATCAAATTGAAAAGTATATTGTTGCACAAAGATGAGTAGCAAGTCAGACTGAATAGGATATGAAGAACAGCAAAGAATATCTAAAACCTCAAATTTGAGTACAAGAGAAAGCTAACTGGAAATGTGAAAACCAAATAAACATATCTGCAGATTTTACAAAATGACCATTGATCCTGTCCAGATAGTGATTGCCTAGACACTAATGGAATATAAGGAAATGATGGATGAGTTGAATAGATAATTTGCACCTGTCTATACTGTAAGACACAAATAAGTTCCAGAAATTATAGAATGAGGACTGGGGTGGAAAAGGAGAGAGAAATTGCAATCACTGTGGAAAAAATACTGAGGAAAATTAAGAACTAGAGGCTGACAAATCTCTAACATTAATGGGCTTCATCCCAGAGTTTTAAAAGAAGTGACTGTTGAGATAGTGGATTTTAATTTTCTAAAATTCCCTAGATTTTGTAAAGATCCCACCTCATTGGAAAATAGCAGATGTGAGTCTTCTATTCAAGAAAGGAGGGAGGCAGAAAATAGGAAACTACAGACTAGATGGCTTAACAGTGCTCATGAGGAAGTTGCTGGAATATTTTTTTGAGGAGGTTGTAGCAGTGCCCTGAGAAAATCAGGCAGAGTCAACATGGTTTTGTAAAAGTCAAATTGATTAATGTTCATTGAGGAAGTAAGCAACAATGTGGATAGGGGGAACCTGCTGTGGTGTACTTTGATTTCGGAAGGCATTTAAAATGATGCCACATCAAAGATAACTATACTCATGTGGGTGGCAACATATTAATATGGGTAGAGAATTGTTTAGGTAACAGGAAAGAGAGAAGGCGTAATTAGATCATTTTTAGGTGGCAAGAAATCAACAAGTGGAATGCCACGAGGATCAGGGCTAGGTCCTCAACTGTTTGCAATCTATTATCAGTGACATAAATGAAAGGACCAGAAGTATAGTTGCTAAATTTGCTGATGACACCAAGACAGACAAAAACATAAGTTGTGAAGAGGATGTGGAAAGTGGGCATATAAGAATGCAATGTGGAAAAATGTGAACTTGTCCACTTTGTCAGGAAGAACAGAAAAATGTTTTTTTTTTAGAAAGGTGAGAGATTTAATTCTGAGACAGGGAGAGATCTGGGGTTTCTGATACATGAATCACATAACGTTAGAATGTGGATGCAGTGAGTGATCAGGAAGGCAAATGGAATGTTGGCATTTATTGTCGGGGAAGTGGAATATTAGAGAGGAATATTTTATTGCAGCTGTTCAGGGTGTTAATGACACCACACCTGGAGTACAATGGACAGTTACTGTCTCCTTAGAATTGCTAATTATATTCCTTAAGTGAAGGTTTGGCCAGCTGAATACTGGGATGAGGGCATTTTCTTACGCTGAAATGTTGGACAGGTTTGGTCTGTGTCCATTGCAGTTTAGAATTTGAGGTGATCTTATTGGAGAATGCATGATCCTGAAGGGACTAAACAGCGCGGATACTGGGAGAATATTTCCCTTTGTAGGTGGGCCTCAAACTAGGAGACATAGTCAAGATTCTAAGTATTACTGGGGCAGGCAGGAAAGTAGGTCAAGGCCAGAATCCTATCAGCCACGATCTTGCTAAGTAGCAGAAAGGCATCTCCTAATTTGTATTTTTCTCACCCACTCTGATATTCTCATGCTGTCTGTGGTTTTGTCTCTTTCAGGTTGAAGAGCTTGATCGGTTGGTGACTGAGATGGCAGGATTTAAACAGTGAGTTATTAGCACTGAAAGCATTGTGTCCCTGTGGGACCCTACTGTTCAAGCCCAAGCACCCACCCCACCCCCCACCCCCACCTTTCTTCATCCAAACCCCACATGATATTTGCGAGTGTGTAGCTGGTCCCCCTCTGTTCTAAAGCCTTTGTCCACTCTTACTGATTCGAGGGTTGGTAGAACTGGGATGTATGTTCAGACATTTTACCTTTTTTCCTTCAGGATGTACCTGGTGACTGGACAGACATACAGTCGGAAAGTGGATATTGATTCGCTGGCCGTGCTCTCGAGTCTTGGGGCGACTGTTCACAAGGTGAGGAAAGGACTGGCTGTGTGCATCCATAGGAGTCTGTGTGGCTGTCCAACCTGAATGAAATTACCCCTCTGTGTCTGCTTGCTGGTTGGGGGTGTGTGCCTGGTCACTGGGGTGGGGCAGGGGAGAGGGGTGTGCCTGGGTCGCCAAGCTTGCAATGGCGGAGGGGATGCCTGGTGTCGTCTTGGTGGTGGTGGGGGTGATGGGTTCTGCCTGGCCATTGTGATTGAGCGGTGAACAAGGGCCTGTGTTTTAGAGATAGGAACTGCAGATGCTGGAGAATGAGATAACCAGGTGTAGAGCTGGATGGACACAGCAGGCCAAGTAGCATCAGAGGAGCAGGAAAGCTGACGTTTCGGGCCTAGACCCTTCTTCAGAAGTTTTGTTCAGGGCCTGTGTTTTGTCTGGTTTGTGCTACCTTGGTCCAGGAAGCATCAACACGTGGGAGCACAATCTAACCCCATGTTTCTTTCAGATCTGTACGGATATCCGCCTTCTGGCAAATCTGAAGGAGGTTGAGGAGCCCTTTGAGAAAGATCAGATTGGTGAGTCTTGTTTGGGACTGGAGGAATAGTTTCTGTAGTGTTGTGGTTTCGTGTGGAAGTGTTTTTGCTGGAAGGGGTTGGTAGGGCGTGTTCTGGTGTTATATGGAGTCTTGATGTGATAACCCAGGTTCACATCCGAGTCTCCTGAGCTCCAATACCTCAACACTATTAGATTGGTGGGAAATCAGTCAAGATTGTTACAGGATGTGTTGCAGAGTGGTCATGTGTACTTGAGTATAAGATTAGCTGAGTCCTGTCCCTAACTCACTCTCTCCATGCTGGCACCACCAGAACTGGGCAATAGCAAATCTGCACCATTTACACCCCATACTCTCTCCCTCCTCTCGTTATTATGGTGAATCTGCAGTGAGATGTGAACACTGAGCAGGATCACAAAGGAGTGTAGTGGAGGAAACCAGTGAGGATGGGGAGGTGCTGTGTTGAGGTGCTTTCTGGTGGTGTTTGGTTTGTCTGGGTTATGGGGAATGTCAGACTCGGGCTTGTGGATGATGGCAGGCAGTTGGGCAGTCTGTGGATAACCATTCATTCTGTCAGTGTGCTTGTTTACAGGGTCCAGTGCGATGCCCTATAAGAGGAATCCAATGCGCAGTGAACGTTGCTGCAGTCTGGCTCGCCACCTCATGACACTGATGCTGGACCCTTTGCAGACAGCGGCTGTACAGTGGTTTGAACGGACTCTAGATGACAGTGCCAACAGGTAATCTTGCTACATCTTAGGATCAGATTGGTTCAGCGCTTCACAGAAAAACACTGGGCAATTTGGAGGAGAGGCTGAGAGCCCCCTCCAAAGTACAAACATCCTTCTCCCTCCAAATTTGTCCCTTTTTGGTAAATTAGTTGCTGGGATCATTTATTCATGGGCTGTGTGTTTGAGTTTCCTGATCCCTGCCATTGGTTTCATCCTCACTGGGTTAAGTGAACGGTGCCCCTCTGGCTTATCCTCTCCCGGTCTCTGCTCTGTGGGTGAGTCTGCCTGGATACTGTCTGGGACATGGTGATGTCTCAAAGTTGAACAGACTGCTCATTATTGCTGGTGAGGAATGGCTAGTGTCCCTAATGTGACAGTTTGTCCAGCCAATGCTGAGCTGCCAGTAAAGGCCAGCTCCTGCCCTTGGCACCGTCCCCCAAGGTGCTGAATAAAGAAGTCAAAGTGGCCAGGCATGAATTGTAACAGCAAGCCATACTCTCCGGCCATTCCTCTGGGCCCTAGATACTGCTGTGTTTCCTTCAGATGTTGTACTGCTGTGTCCAATGTCAATATGATGCTGAGTAGAACTGAACATTGTTGGAATGCTGGTTAATCACTGTTTTTCCCCATCTCTCTCTCTGTTTTAACATCTGCCTTCCTTCTCCTTCTGTTACTTGCTTTCTTCTTCTTTGTCTTGTGGCCTTTTGCCCCTCTCTGCCACTCACCCCCACTCTTTCTCTTTGCCATTCACATTCTTGCCCCCTCTGTCTCTGTCTGCTGCTGTTGCTGTCACCCGCTTCTGTTCAGACGTATCTGTTTAGCGGAGTCGTTTCTAACTGCAGACATTATTCTGAGCACTCTACAGAACATCACTGAAGGGCTGGTCGTTTACCCGAAGGTAGGCTGTATCTGCTGTGGAGATTTTCAGATGCTGCATTTGATGTATTTACGGAGCTGAATGGGAATGTAGGGAACTCTATCCTTTCTGTCAGCACTGACTGGGCTGAAATTAACCAGCATTGATCTGTGAATTATTGATTGTAAACTTATTTGTTATAGGGTTTGGAACTGGGTAGGTGTAAGTCTGAGAGTGGGGAACAGTCCTCATTAGTGGCTGCTTAATGCTGCATCTCTATGATCAGGATACCATGTGTATTTGGGGGAGGCATAGGGAGTCCGCAGCGAGGGGATATTCTCGGAGTATCTGGGTTGTGCAGTGATGGGTGGGGTCTGAAACAGTCTTGCTCAGAATGTTTGCTTCCTAGTTTTCCCGCCTGGTCTTGCTCGTTGTTGCCAGCATCCTGTGCATTCACTGATCTATTACGTTCTCTTCCAGGTGATTGAGCGGCACATTCGCCATGAGCTTCCATTCATGGCAACAGAAAACATCATTATGGCAATGGTAAAAGCCGGAGGAAACAGACAGGTCAGTGTCCCCCTGTGCCTGGAGTGAGGGGGTGCAGCAAAACTGATCATATCTCTGTACTCAGGTCAGAACGGTGTGAGACTGGGTTGTATCAGTTTTAGTTCAAAAGAAATTGTGCACTTTATCTCGACCAAGACTTCAGCTCAAAAAGGACAGATTTGAAATTCTCATTGAACGTTTGAGAATTAAAGATAAATCTACTTGAGTTTTTCAAACTTTGTAAAAAATAAAATTTATAGAATCAGCATAATTAGCTGTTTTAGCCTGAGCTGCCTGCTGGTTGAAGGATCTGCAGGAGACACTGAACCAAGAGGTTTGAATGTATGGAACCATTCTGAATGTTTAATGCAAATTCATGTTGTAGTGTATTGGAGCTTGAACTGAGTTGGGATTTAATTTAAAAGACTTTACTGCCTCTCCATCTCTGGCATTTCTTGTTTGACACTTGTGGTAATGCTCCTGATTTGAGTTATTTCCTTTCCATCTTCTACAGGATTGTCACGAGCGAATCCGTGTCCTCTCCCAGCAGGCAGCTGCTGTGGTTAAACAGGAGGGAGGTGACAATGATCTGATCTGCAGAATTCAGGAGGACGGTTATTTCAGCCCGATCCACAGGCAGCTCGAGACACTGCTTGACCCCAAGTCCTTCATCGGGTGTGCCCCCCAGCAGGTGAGAGCAGGATGTGGAGTCATCCATAACGCTGTCCATGGTCCCAGCTGGCCCCTACGACCCTGATCCATCATGGTGGAATATTCTGTCCTCACCTCTTTCATTGGCTGGAGAGGGTGGGTTCTTCAACATGGATCTGAATCCCCGTGCATTGACTGAATTGGAAGAAGACAAAGGAGCAGAAACAGACATTCAATCCATTGACAACAAAAACAGAAGTTTCTGGGAAAGCTCAGAACCGGACCCAAAACATTAACTCTGATTTTCTCCTTCACAGATGCTCCCAGACCTGGTGAGCTTTTCTAGCAACTTCTGTTTTTGTTCCTGATTTACAGCATCCACAGTTCTTTTGGTTTTTAATTCGGCCCGTTGAGTTTCCTCCACCATTCAGCGAGGTCATGGCTGATCTGATCATCCTCAACTCCACTTCCCCATCTTTTTGCCGTAACCCTTGATTCCCTGAGTTCTGACGAAGGGTCACCGGACCCGAAACATTAACTCTGTTTTTACTTTCACAGATGCTGCCAGACCTGCTGAGCTTTTCCAGCCACTTTGTTTTTGTCTTTGATTCCCTTCCTGATTTAAAAAATTTGTCTCGGCCTTGAATATACTTAATGACCCAGCCTCAACAGCCTTCTGCTGTAAGGAATTCTGCATATTCACCACTCTGAGAGAAGAAATTCCTCCTCATCTGTCTTGAGATTATACCATCTTGTCTTAGACTCTCCCACTAAGGGAAACAACCCCTGTTTCTACTGTCAAGTCTCCTAATAAACTTGTTTGTTACAATAAGGTTGCCCCTCATTTTTCGAAACTCCAATGAGTACAGGCCCAATCTACTTGACCTCTTCTTAGAAGACTCCATACCTGGGATCAAGCTTGTGAACCTTCTCTGGACTGCCTCCAATGCTAGTATATCTGTATTTACATAAAGGAACCAAAACTGTTCAGTATTCTAGCTATAGTCTTGACTAGTGCCTCGTGAAGTTTAGCAGGGCTTTCCTATCTTTACAGTTTGTTCCCTTTGAAATAAATATTTAATTTGCCTTCCGTATTATGTGCTGAACTTGGGTGCTAACTTCTTGTGACTTATGCATGGGGACTTCCAATTCCCTCTTCTGTAGCTTTCTACAGTTTTTTCCATTTAAATAATACCCAGTTCCTCTTTATTCTGCTGAAGTGCGAAACGTCTCATTTCCCACATTATATATTCCATCTGCCATATTTTGGCCCACCATATCTTTTCCTCTGAAGACTGTCATTCTCACCACTTGTCTTCCCACCTATTTTTGTGCCATTCTAATGCCAAGTTTGCATATGTTCACATTCCTCATCCTGGTCATTGATTTATATTTTAAATAAATTGTGGTCTCCGAAGTAATCGCTGTGTCAGTCCACTAGTTGCACATCACCAACCTGAAAATGCCCCCCAACCCCTCCTCTTTCAGCCAACTTGCTATCCATGCTAAATCCTACCTGTAATACTATGGGCTCTTAGCCTAATGTGTGGTACCAAATCAAGTGCCACTTGGAAATCCAAATGTATTGCATTCAATGCTTCTCCTTCACCTATCCTGCTTGTAACCTTCTCAGAATTCTAATGACATGATTTCTCCTTCAGGAAGCATTGCTGACTGTGCTTAATTGTATTATGTATTTCTAAATGCTCTACTATTAAATCCTTCGTAATAGACTCAACATTTTCCCAATCACAGTTGTTTAGTTACCTTTTTTGACTCCTTCCCTTTATAAACCAGGTTGTTACATTGGCCACTTTCTAATTCTCCTCTCCTTTTTTGAGAATCTACGTTTTTTTAATATCCTAGCTTACATCTCATCAGATTCAGGTGAACTTATCGTACTTTAGCCTTGTTCGATTCCCTAGTTCTTTTTCTCCAGTGATATTTATTGTGTTTATTTGCTGTTCCCTTTTTGCCCTTGGTTATTTAATATTTTTGGAAGCTATTAGTGTCTTCTACCATAAGATTGATGCAAAGTATTTATTCAACTCATCTGTCACTTCCTAGTTCCCCGTTATTATTTCCCCAGCCTCATTCTCTGAGGGGCCTATGTTTACTTTGGCCTCTTTATATATTTAAAGAAGTTTTTGCTTTCTGTCTTGCAAGTTTGCCCTCAAAGTTTATTGTCTCCCTTGGGTGTTTTAGTTGGTTTTTCAAATTTTCCCAATCATCTGTCTTACCACTAATCTCTCCCGAGTTGTATTTTTTCTTTTAATTAGTTGCTAACCTTAATTGCCCCAGTTAACAATGGTTTGCTTATTCCCTTATTAGTATCTTTCTTCCTCACTGGAACATTGTGAGCCATAAAATATTTAATTTTTAAATACCTGCCATTGTTCCTCAACTATCTTCACTGCCAAACTCCTTTTTAAGAATGGAAAATGCTGGAAAACCTCAGCAGTTCAGCAACACCTTTATGGGGAGAGAAGCAAAGTGAGCCTTTCGAGTCCAACGTGGCTTCTCTGGTTCAGAAGAAGTTGGCCTGATTATTTCCAGCACTTTGTATTCTGGAAATCTGAAATGAAATCACAGTATTTTGCTTTTATTTCTTGGTAGTAGCTTGATGTTGATTTGATTTTTCTTTTTCCTCTCTCTTTGAAAGGTCACCAGATTCCTGGAGCAGGAGGTTCAGCCGCTCTTGATCCGTTATGCTGGTCAAATGGAAGTGAAAGTTGAGTTGGAGCTGTGAGAAACTGTGAACCAGAGTGATGAGTGCTGAAAATTAATCAGAATACCTCCAGGTTCTAGCATGTCCAGCCTGTGACATGAAACTGTGAGAGATTTTGTGCCTTAGATTTGAGGAGCAAAAACTGGACTGTTCAATTTTAAGTTATTGATTGTTGGTTTCCGACAATGATTTAGTTAATGCTGGGATGTCACTGGCTGTACTGGCACGGGTGCTGCTGTGTATGTTTAGCAATGCATACTCATTTTTGCGGGGGGCCCATCAGCAGACATTCTCCCACTCAGGAATCATGGAGCAGTCATCACATGACCCAGAGCTATCCTGTTACAATTCACATGTCAGATCATGAAATTTTTCAAATAAGTTTTGTTTCAATTGAGTTAATCAAACATCAATGCCCATGAGACTGGGCTCAAGGTTTCCATTTGTATGGGATTTGTCATTCTCATCTTGAAAGAATGGCTTGTGCTTTGAATAAAAAATTTTTTCAGCTTGAATTTAAAAATGAGTTTCATTATGATTGTGTCTAACATCATTCACCTGAAGCTTGAGAGAATAGCTTGTGGAGCTGGAGGAACACAGCAGGCCAGCCGCATCTAAGGAGCAGGAAAGTTGACGTTTTGTGTCGGGACCCTTTTACAGAAATGGGGAGGGGGAAGGGAGCTAGGAAATAAATAGGGAGAGGAAAGGAGAAGTGGGGCTGGGGATCATAGGTGGGACGGTGATAGGTGTGTGCAGGTAGGGAGTGGTGGGAATTGGTCAGTGGGATGGATGGGCTGGATAGGTGAGAGAGAAGATGGACAGGTTGTGTCAGGTCAAGGAGGTGGCAATGAGAGTGAGGGTTGGACATGGAATGAGGCCGGGGGTGTGGGGAGATTTTCAAAGGACCCTCAAGTTTGTGGGTGGTGTCATTGACAATGGAGGCGGCCCAGGATGGACATGTCACCATGGGAGGGGAATATCTGATACGAAAGGTTTGTTTCGGGCCTTGAATGGAGGTGAGGAGGGAAGTGTAGGGGCAGATGTAGCACTTCTGCGGTTGAAGGGAAAGGTACTGGCTTTGGAGGGATTAATAGGGAGTGTGGAGCAGTCGAGGGAGTACTGTTGTGTTCCTCCAGCGCCTGCAGTTCTTGCTATCTTGTTCACCTGAAGCTTTTTGTGGTAATCAGGAGGGACTTTGATCACTCTGCCCTACCATCATTGGTTTAAACTGTTAAACCAATTGCACTTGTTTCTGTGAGATAATAAGAACTGCAGATGCTGGAGTTGGAGGAACACAACAGGCCAAGCAGAATCAGAGGGGCAGGAAAGTTGACGTTTTGGGTCGGGACCCTTCTGAAGAATACACTCCTCTGATGCTGCCTGACCTGCACTTGTGACTGAATTTGAGGCAGACACAGAAACTCGGTTCATGATGCCCTAAGATTAAGATGGAAATAGGTTGATGTTTTGATGTGTATGGAATTGGCCACAATGAAATTGTTGAGATTGGTTGGCTCGCCGAGCTGGTTTGCTGAAACGTCTGCAGAACATTACCCTGCTGGGTAACATCATCCGTGCAGCTTCCGAATGAAACGGTGTTGAGGCCTGGTGCTGAACTGGGTTTCCCAGGCCCCAAGAAGACTTTCCACATCAAGCAGATGTTCACCTGCACATCTGCCAATGTGGTATACTGCATCCGCTGTACCCGGTGTGGCTTCCTCTACATCGGGGAAACCAAGCGGAGACTCGGGGACCGCTTTGCAGAACACCTACGCTCGGTTCGCAACAAACAACTGCACCTCCCAGTCGCAAACCATTTCAACTCCCCCTCCCATTCCTCAGACGACATGTCCATCCTGGGCCTCCTGCAGTGCCACAACGATGCCACCCGAAGGTTGCAGGAACAGCAACTCATATTCCGCTTGGGAACCCTGCAGCCCAATGGTATCAATGTGGATTTCACAAGTTTCAAAATCTCCCCTCCCCCCACCGCATCCCAAAACCAGTCCAACTCGTCCCTGCCTCCCTAACCTGTTCTTCCTCCCACCTATCCCCTCCTCCCACCTCAAGCCGCACCTCCATCTCCTACCGACCAACCTCATCCCGCCCCCTTGACCTGTCCGTCCTCCCTGGACTGACCTATCCCCTTCCTAACTCCCTACCTACACTCACCTTTACTGGCCCCATCCCTGCCTCTTCGACCTGTTTGTTTCCTCTCCACCTATCCTCTCCTCTATCCATCTTCTATCCGCCTCCCACTCTCTCCCTATTTATTTCAAAACCCCCTTCCCCTCCCCCTTTTCTGATGAAGGGTCTAGGCCCGAAACCTCAGCCTCTCTGCTCCTATGGTGCTGCTTGGCCTGCTGTGTTCATCCACCCCTGCACCTTGTTGTTTCAGATCAAATTCAGCTGGAGCTGGGTTGGAGTCAGTCACGTATGGGGTTTGAGTTGGTGTTGGATTCACATTAAGGGTTTGAGATAGGTTCGGGGTCAGCTGAAGGTTTGGGTTTGAATCTAAGATAAAATGGGTAATCAGCAAGTTTGAGGCACAGGTGCTGGCAACGATTTGCCAGCATTAATGATGGCGGCCATTCACAGCCGGGTGGCGAGGGCCACTTCTGGTAATATCCGACAATTTGTATAGAACTACATCCGGGGTCGGTGTACCGGAAGAGGAAGTGATCACACAAAAACCGGCGACGTCTTTCACAAACGGAAACATCCGGAAAAGAAGGGTGAAAAATCTGGTCCCGGACTTAATGAAAAAGGAGAGACCGGGTAAAGAAATAGTAATGAGGAGGGGGCGGCTGAAGGAGGGTCAATAGTAATGAGGAGGGGGCGGCTGAGGGAGGGCTAGTAAGAGGGGGGATAAATGGGGGAAGAGGACTGAGACAGAGACAGTACATAGAAATAAAGAGGAGGGGGCACAGAGAGAATGGGGGAGGTACTGACAGACAGAGTGAGAGGGGTCTGAGAGGGTGGTGGGCACTTAGGGGGAAACAGAGAGGGAGCACAAGGGGTGTGAGGGGAATGTGATCTGTCTGAGGGGAGAGAAGCTTGTGATTCTGCTGTTGTAAAAGCCTATCTGTATGTTCAAATACAACCAATCAGAGCAGCTGAGCTCAAGACTGACTATCAATCTCCACTTTCCCATCCACTTTCCTTTACCCCGTGATTTATTTAGAGTCCGATTTCAACTCAGCCTTAAACATGTTCTGGCATCGAGCACCCACAGTCTTGCCAATCAGAGAATTCCAAAGATTGTGAAGACTATTCTTCCCCATCTCGGTCCGAAATAAGCAAATCTGTTATCTTAAAACTGTCCCTGTTTCTAGATTCTTCACCTTCTCAATGGCAATCTTGTCAATCTCTTTCAGAAGCATATGTGTTTCAATTAGAACCCCTCTCATTCTTAAACTCCGGACTGCACCAGCCCAGCCTATTCAATCCCTCATTCTTGGACATTGCGTTCTTCCCAGGAAACGTGAGCTGTTGCATCCTTTGAGATAAATAGATTATTGCATAGACATGCAGAGTCAAACAGAGGACAGTACCACCAAGTATGTTCTCACCAAAGCTGTGTGCGACTGTGCCAAGATTTCTTTACTCTTGTCCAATCCCTTTGCAAAAAAGGGTCAATGTAACATTTGTCTTCCTAGAGTAAAATCAGAAAATACTGGAAAATTAAATTCAATTATAGTACGTCTGCTGGTTCTCTTTTATCCAACCTGCTAGGTAAATCCAAAAAAATTCAATCATTGACTTGTTGAAAAAGATTTTCCTTTCACAAATCTGCGTTGACTCTGTCTCATCGCATTGTGATTTTCAGTTTCCTATTGTCACTTCTCTCATCCTCTAATAGATTTTTTTCCCAGCACCCAATGTCAAGCTAACTGCCAGGTTGGTAGACTCTGGTCTCCTCTTGCTCTTCTTTCTTGAAAAGTAGAATTATCGTCCAGTCCCCTAGGACTTTTCAGAATCATTACAAACTCTGCAGCCATTATCACTTTTCTAATTAGTTAAACTTGTCAAATCTAGGAGGTTAAGCCCTATTCATTTATCTGGTACTTTTCTTTACTCACTCTTATTAGACTTATCGCTCCCTGCAAGTTCTGTTTTTTTTTTTAATGCCTCATACTGTGAAGATAGACCTAAGGGCTACATTTTCAATGCTTAGCATAGGTGGCAGCAGAAGCCGATGGACCTGGAAGTTGTCATCACTGGTTTGCTGGTATGTTCTTGCGTCAGTGCCAATTTGAAACAAATGGTTTGTGGGCAATAAGGTTATTAGCCCACTAGCATCAGGTAGGTAATTCAACCTCAAAGAACTTGTTAAGAGCTCTCTTCTGCTTGGTTAATGAAAGGAGGATACCTTCTATTGATGAACTGGAGTCCAGCACTCTCGCATGTTAAACCCTCCTGCCATAGACCACCCTGTAGAGGGACTCTTGTTGCTCAGCTCTTGTGGCTGTGACCAGTTTAAAGTTCAGAACTTTTGAAAGGTGCTGAGATTTGTGGTTGTGGTTCAGACTTCAACTCAGTAACTCTTGAGGTTGAGGTTCCTTGAGCTGTAGGCACTCACTGTGTATTGATACTGTGCCACACAACAGACATGCCAGGAGAGTTATGCTATGGAATGAAAGGGTCAGTAGCAACATGGTTACAAAATTGGCTGAGTGATAGGAAACAGAGAGTAATGATCAAGGGGTATTTTTCAGGCCGGAGGAAGGTTTGTGGTGGAGTTCCCCAGGTGTTGGTGCCTTACCTTTTCCTGATATATATAATGATCTGGATCTTGAGGTCCGAGGGACAATTTCAAATTTTGTGGATGGCACAAAACTTGGAAGAATTGTAAACTGTGAGGAGGACAGTGTGGAACTCCAAATGAACATAGACAAAGACAAGTTGAGGTTCAATGCAGAGAAGTATGAGCTGATCTGTTTTGGGAGGAAGAACATTGAAAGACATTATAAAATTGCGGGTACAATTCCAAAGTGGATACAGGAGTAGAGGGACCTGGGTGTATATGTGCACAGATCATTGACGGTGGCAGGACAAGTGTTGAGAGCAGTTAATAAAGCATACAGTGACTCCTGCTTTATTAACAGGGTCATAGAGTAGAAAAGTAAGGAGGTGATGTTAAACTTGTTCCAGACACTTGTTAGACATCACCTGGAGTATCGAGTACAGTTGTGAGCGCCACATTGTAGAAAATACAAAATGCATTGGAAAGAGTACAAAAGTGGTTTACAAGAATGGTTCCAGGAATGATCAACTTCAGTGATTAGGATATATTGAAGAGAGGAGGCTGAGAGGAAATTTGATAGATGTTTTCAAAATCATGAGCAGACTAGATAGAGTAAATTGGGAGAAGCTAATAAAAGAACAAGAGGGTATGGATTTAAAGCAAAGTGCAACTGAAGCAAAAGGGTGATGTAAGAATAAGCTTTTGCTTTCAGCTAGCAGTTATGGTCTAGAGTGCACTGCTTGGAAATGTGGTGGAGGCGGGTTCAATGGAGACAT